CGTACACTGAACAGTGGTACAAATTAGGAAAAGTTGAGTTGAAATATCTTTTAAAAATCTTTGAATCATGGAGGATTAAAAGTCTTCAGGGGATTACTTACAAAGATCAATCACCTTTAACGAAAGTACTTACGAGAGGCTTCGAAACATTAGTTAGGTCAATCAGTGGACGACGATCCATTTTCAACCAAAAGGAGTACTTCTCTCATAGTCTCTATATGTTTCAGAATAACAAATTATATAAGACAAATGACAATTCTCCACAGTGCGAATTATGATCAGCTGAATATTAACCGTTTTCACTACTTGCGATGGTTGTGCGAGGGTTATTCCTCGTCACCTTTCGCGAGGCAAAAGTCGAACAAGTCTGCACTTGCCTTATCACTTGGAGTTTGTCGGATGGTGTCATATTCCTAAAATTCGCGCTACACCCGTAAAAATCACGGCCTTCGCGATACATCGTCGGAGGCGCGGGAGGGGAGATGTGGCAACGTCTGTGTAAAGTGAGGTGGGTATGGCAAACTCGCGTCCCGAAGTAGGCCCCGAGCACGGCCGAGGAGTGCCGAAGCGGTGCCCAACCTGTCAGCGGCGGGTTGACATGCCCGGTTGTAAATGCGCGCAGAAACTACCGAATGGGTAGTCCATCTACTTAATGGTCCTTGTACCTCCCAATACATTTAAAAAATTCGAATCACTATCGGAAATGAAACCAGATGATACGTATTACGCATATTAAGAGAAATCATATCGTGATGTATTATCTATGCTTACCCATCCTGAATTTCGACTTTAATACACTGATCACCAACCTCAGTGTTGTACTTGCAGCAGAAATCCTTAAGTGCTTCGACCATGCCTTCACCAGACTGAGGACCATAGTGACCAATGGAGACTTTCCGAAACAATTTGTATACCCAATAGTTACTTGGACATTTAGATCTATCTGCAGCAGTATACATGTAATCAGCACCATGTGATAGCAAGAGATCAAATTTGTATGTCTCAATAGCAGATAATACTGAATGTCCATCAGAGAACATATTCAGAAACTTCTCTTTAACTTCATTAGAGGGTCTCCGGTATCGCAGAGCATCAGCAGAATCAATTGGATGGTTGTGTTGGTGTGAAATAATTATTTCACAAGGATAATCCTTCAATAAATCATCAGAGCTCCTAAAAATAAAAATAAAAATTCATAGATGGGTAAAGAAAGCGGATTTGATATATTAATAACCATTAGGGATACCTACCAGGCCATTGATCTCTGCTTGATAGTTATGCGGACAAAGCTTGGACAAGAAGTATTCTTGCTTTTCCTTACTTTGGCCGCTTTGGTTTTAAAAGTAGTCTTAGTCTTGTCAGGTCTCTCTCTAGGTATTGTGTTGTGGTGACATCGATATTCCCTCTATGAGAAAATATATAAAATTAATCAATCAGCCTCACACACACAGACTTAAATCTCTTACTACTACAAACAGAACTTTTAACAGCACTAACTTTAAAAACTAGGCGATCAGAGTTTTCTTTTTTTGTTTTCTTTACTCTGAAATCACAAGATGACTTATTCTCATAGTCTGAGAGCCACTGGTATGCCCCTGACTTGTCAGTTATGTTGACTCTAATTTTGGCTGTCCAGTGTTCTTCAGTCTTATTGAAGGGGTTTGGCTTTGAAGAAGTCTCTATGATTACATAGTCAGCCATAAGACTTGGCAATTTTTCCTGAAAAAAAAAGATATGAGGAATTGATTGGAAGTACATGAACAATTACAGTCAAAATTATTATTACTTTTTGATTTGTAGGAAATATTTAACCAAAAGTAATTTTATTGATACTTACGTGAACCTTTTCAAAAGCTGGATTAGCTAAGCTTTCCTCCCTGGCCTTCTCAACATTTTTTTCAATTTCTTCAAGACTTTTACGACATCCTGCCTTTTTCCTAATAACGACTTTACTAACTGTTTCTGTCACTTCATTCCCTGATTTAGATTTGGAAGAAGTCTCAAATCCGCCACACAAGTCTGAGCAAAACAGTTGAAACAATTTAAGATCATAATTTGATTTTTAGCAAAAGATATTGGTGGTATTTGTTAGTTAAAGTACCTGATAGATCTGAATTATTCACCAAATCAATTGGATTTGGTGGGGATTCAGCTCCTGCACTACTGCCTTCTCTCAATTCTGGAGCTGGGGTGTCAGATTCTAAATTAATTATTGTGCTAATGTCAGAATTGTTTTCAATAGCATTTGTAGGAGGAAAACCTGTGGGAGATATGAATAGTAAAACAATTAACACATTCAAACTCATGCTTTAATTGTTAATTTATAATTTACCATCCGTACCTTGGGCCATTAAGTTTGATGCAACTTTTCGAGCATTAATCAGGACTGAGTCAGGTGTGTTCTTTCGTATCTGATAAAATGGGACATTATTGAAAGTAATTATTAACGTGTCAATTTTAGATGAATTTCTCACATATCTCTATTGGAAACATGACGACAGCAAATGGTTTCCATTTATCCTTACCTGACTACTAAGGCTCAAAGATTTTTTTTTGTGTAGACCAGTCAAGACAGGCGAAGCAACAAACTACAGAAAACAGAAAATGGCAAACGAAAGCTAACATTAGTGGTTAAAATTTTAAGAATAAAATAACGAAGCATGCTGAAAAAAATACTTACAGCAGGAACAGTTTTGGATCCACATGATGGTTTTGAAATTAGAACAGGAGCAGTTTCGACTCCAAATGTTTTTGAAATTAGAACAGGAGTTTTGTTTCCACATGATGGATTTGAAATAAGAACAGGAGCAGTTTTGGATCCACATGATGGTTTTGAAATTAGAACAGGAGCAGTTTTGACTCCAAATGTTTTTGATATTAGAACAGGAGTTTTGGATCCACATGATGGGTTTGAAATAAGAACAGGAGCAGTTTTGGATCCACATGATGATTTTGAAATTAGAACACTTAAATTTGGATTCTGAAATATGGTATGAACGTATAAGATTTAGATCCTCGCTAGAGTACACGTACACTGAACAGTGGTACAAATTAGGAAAAGTTGAGTTGAAATATCTTTTAAAAATCTTTGAATCATGGAGGATTAAAAGTCTTCAGGGGATTACTTACAAAGATCAATCACCTTTAACGAAAGTACTTACGAGAGGCTTCGAAACATTAGTTAGGTCAATCAGTGGACGACGATCCATTTTCAACCAAAAGGAGTACTTCTCTCATAGTCTCTATATGTTTCAGAATAACAAATTATATAAGACAAATGACAATTCTCCACAGTGCGAATTATGATCAGCTGAATATTAACCGTTTTCACTACTTGCGATGGTTGTGCGAGGGTTATTCCTCGTCACCTTTCGCGAGGCAAAAGTCGAACAAGTCTGCACTTGCCTTATCACTTGGAGTTTGTCGGATGGTGTCATATTCCTAAAATTCGCGCTACACCCGTAAAAATCACGGCCTTCGCGATACATCGTCGGAGGCGCGGGAGGGGAGATGTGGCAACGTCTGTGTAAAGTGAGGTGGGTATGGCAAACTCGCAGCCCTCCACCTTTGTGTGGTTTGCAAGTAACTGGGAGACTTAAAGGCCAATCTGCGCACACGGAAAGAATCGTAAAGGTCCAATGTTCAACTATTGACTACAAAAAGTCAAGTAGCACGAGCGGATACTGAGTAATAAGTATTTCTTTGGAGGTATCCCGAAACCCGCGTTTTGCAGATAGACTTTTGTGAATTCAACACTCTGCAGATAGATCTTGTATATTCGGCACTCTGCAGATAGAATCTTGTTGTGAGGACGCGTCGGCATGCGCGTTAGGGGTTGCGTACGGCGAACTTCCATCAAAATTCGAGCTGTGCACCTAAAATGAGACCCAGGCTAGTGAACCATGCCAATTTTCACGTGCCTACCTGTATCGCAAGCAATTTTAATCACACAGACCAAAATAAGTTGACCGATAATTGTTTCAGCGAGTTTAGTTTGCCTCTGGTATATTACATTCATAATTTACACTTGTAATTTTCAATCTTTCATTTAATCACCAGTCTTGAAATCCCTAGAAAGGATACGTCACGAATTTAAACGTTTTTATAAATCCAAGCTCTTCGAAGGGGTTTGAATTTATATCGCGGCAAAAGCAGTAGTGCCTGATTGTTTTTTAAGAAAAGGGAGAAATTTTGAGCAGCTTTTGCAGGTTAGGGGGAAGCCTATCCGATTTTTGAGCCAGTTCCTCAAAATAGAGGGAATTTTCCCTCAATTTGTGACGAGGTGATCTTAGAACCTGAGGAGTTTTCCTCAAAATATGACAGTTTCTGTAAAAATCAGACATTGGTTTTACTTAGAGGTTTTTTTTGTCTGTAACCTGTCGCACTTGTTGCCTGTGCCTGATCTTATTCTTTGTTTCAGTGGTTTCAGTCATCATTGTCATCTTAAGTACAGCTTTATTATACTATTTCTTGAAGAGATGTCGTAGTCGTCGGCGTTCTGACGTCGAGTCAAATGCACTTGCCCAAATTCCTAGTCAACAGGTAATTTATCACACGTTACGCAAAACTATAGTATATGGTGGGTCATGTCCTATCACGGGCATATTCGCGCTGAATAATAGATGTGCTTGTCACATCGAAGATAAGGGAGAGTGGGACACATAGTGTCACTTTTTGGAAAACCAGCTCTTGTAGGCTTGCTTTGGGGGGCATTTGTGTTCTTAGAGTTGATATGGCTCTATTGGACCTTCAATTACTTCAAACCGTTCAGACCCCCAAGGAAAGTTGTCTGTCCCTTGATAGATAAAGGGAGCAACCTCTGCAATTGACAGTTAGTGCCCC